ATTGTGGAAATTCACTATAAAGTACTTTTGGAAGGCTATTTACTGCTCGACTAAAAGAGAGATTGTTAAAATTAAGTGATATTGAACATTATTAAATGGAAATGTTCAATTTACTAAGAATTTAAAACCTTTTGATTATTGTAGCCAAACCATTATGTATGTATCTCTTTTTGGAAAATGCCCTGTTTTGGAAGAGAAACTCACACTGTAAAAAGAGAAAAGTCCACTTTAAAATAGCGCTTCCTGCATCCAGAACAAAAGCCTGTTAGTGCCGTTGTTAAGAAAATCAAATTATTGGTTGCAACTGTATAAACAATGGGATTTCTCAATTGGAAAAGGCAATTTAAGTCCTAGAAGTTGGCTGCCAAGGAAACCACTGACTGGAAAAAGACGAGCAGAATTTTTATGCAAACTAGCATGATACCTTGTATTTTCTACTCTTTTTCTTGAAAAGGGGGAGAAAGGAGGACAGCAAGAAACTTAGAAAGGCATCTCTTCTGTTCTAAGGAGCCAAGGACTAGACTATTCATAGTGCCTTCAAGTTTTTATTTTGAAAATTATAAAACTTTCCCAAAAAAGTTGAAAGAAGAGTACAATCTATATATCCTTCACTTAGATTCACCAGTTTTTAACATTTTGCCATATTTGGTTTCTCTTACACCCTTCTCTCTCTCTCTCAACATAGTAAGTCACAAACAGCAATTCATCTCTAAAAACTTTGGTATATATTTCCCAAGAAGACATTCTCTACCTAACCACAGTGCTATTATCACACCCAAGAAATTTTTAATTGATACAATATAATCTAATATATAGTTGTTTGTGGAAAATACTCAGACCATTTTTTTCCTTTGCTCTCACACCACAACAGTCATCAACACAGAAGACTTCTGTGACCAAATGTGGTGGGGAGGGTTCTCCCTACCACCAAGTGAGCCATCTGTTCTGCAGCCAACGCCACTGGGTGTCCTCCAAGTCAGTTGCAGCTCTCTACCTGGAGATATTAATAGTTTTAGATCCCACAAGTTGAGGGCTCAGTTCCACAAGACCTACCCCTTCTTGCCACCGGTTGCAAGCCTGAGCCCCCAGAACTTCTGCCCAACTGGCTTCAAGTTGAGATTCCCATGACCCGTTCTTTGGGCTCAATTAATTTGCTGGAGCAGCTCACAGAACTCAGGGGAACACTTAAGTTTACTAATTTATGATAAAGGATACACATGAAGAGAAGTGTGGGGTATGGGGGAAGGGATGCAGAGCTTCTGTGCCCTCCCTGGCTGCACCACCTCCAGGAGCCTCGATGTGTTCAGGTATCTAAGGTCACCAAACTCAGTCCTCTGGGTTTTTATGGACAGCCATCAAAATGGGATTGGCCTCCAGGGTATGGGGCAGGCCTGACTCACCATCAGAATGGTGGGGAAGATTAGAGTCCTGTCTTGGGACAGGTGAAAGGGGAGGGCAGGAGAAGGTCAGAGAGATTGGTTCCTGAGGCCTAGCACACCCAACATTATAACAAGAGACTATAACAAAGGGCTGTGGGGGTTATGATCTGGGAACCATGGACAAAAACCAAGATACATGTAACACACAGTGGTCTATATTGGTATCTTCCCCAGTTGTCCCGATAATGTCCTTTTTAGATTTAAAAAAAAAAAAAACAACTAGGATGTAGGCAAGGTTTGTTCACTGCATTTAATAAGAATAGCTACCCTTCCTCTGCCTTCTTTTGACTTTCCTGTTGCTAAATTTTATTTTTATTTCAGCATATTATGGGGGTACAAATGTTTAGGTTACGTATGTTGCCCTTGCCCCAGTCAGAGCTTCGAGCGTGCCGATCCCCCAGACGGTGCGCGCCGCACCCATTAGGTGTGTATATACCCATTCCCTCCTCCCCCTCC